GATACCTTGTCATTGGCAACATACTTTGTGACATTCAACTTTTCACAGCATTCTAAGTCCTTTTATCTCTGAGTCTTATAACCCTCTTGCCCTGAACTTCGAAAAGATGCCTTTACTTGATCATGTTTTCGTCTCATTTAGTCTAGTCTGCAAGAATAGCATCAACAGTCTATCGAACGAATACAAATGATTGACATTGATGAAAAAATAATTAGTAGAATAGAGATTTCGAGTGATTTGCTCACATTTAGTCAATGAACAAGTTTATCATGTCATACATCAAATTAGTTGTGAAAAGAGTAAAACTTGACAGAGAATTGAGTTTGGCATTTAACGATTCATTTTCAATTTCAAATAACAAATAAAGTAAAATATTGCATTTTCAAAGTGAAAATTTACGCTCAATTTGAACTTCTAATGTTTCATGCAACAATTTGAATCAAACTCGAGAGCAAATAACATCATATTTCGTCTATTTATGTGTTAACAAGTCAATCTGTCAATTCGAACTACAAAAACAAAACAAAATTCCAAGTAAATAAAATGAACTAACACATTAAAGGATTGTAAAACAAAGAATTGTCAAGAATATAAAATTTTAAAGTTACTTTGATATAAGTTATTGCAATGTAAACCATTTCATTTGAATCGATGCAATTCCGAAAACAAATTTGCTTCATTTATCCTTACTTGATTTTTAATTCGTAATAAGAGTTTATTGAGAAGAGCTTTTTTCAGATCGAATTTCTGACAGAAGTTATCTTTTAATTTTGACTTTTCTCTTCGACTTTAATTGCTCATTTTGCATTTAATTGCTTAGTTTTTTGTTTCATCGCAATTCTGTTCAGATTGCCTTTTAATGCTTCCACTAAATGCTCATTTGCTTTCTTATTAATTCATCTTGCCAATTCATTAATATCCAAATGAGAATCAAAAGATGAAAGAAACTGTGAAACTAAGAAATGCATGGTAAAGGAAAAGTTCACTTGAATGAATACTCTGTGTAATTACCTTTATTAATATGCTATTCACGATGAATGTTAAATTAGCCTCAAGACAATTCATTGATCGCAATAACATGCACCAGTCTTCAAATTGAAACATGAAGAGTAGGAATAAGAAAGTCAAAAATTGTTCTTAATGCTCTTTTGCATTGAATGCAATTTGTCTTGAGAAGCAAAGGTACAAAGGTATTCAAATGGCATAAAGTTTGAACAATTTTCGTGTGAAAACTTGTCCAACTCGAGAAGTTGTTATGGGAGTAAAAAAGGATTATCAAAATGTCTTTCCTTTCAAAGTTTAATAATTATATTCATTGTTATTTCGCTATTATAATTGGACAATTTTCATGCATAAACTATGTCATGTTCAAGTTGTTGCCTTAATGAAAATATTTCACCAAAAATTCATTTCTAACTCAATTATAACAATGTTTTTTTTCTCAATTTTTCACTTTTCTCTCAACTTTTCTATGCTCTTGACTCGTTGAAATTTGATATTCATGATAGCATTGAAGTGTCATTGAACAGTTTGACGTTTCATCTTTTGATGGTCCAAAGTTGAATAGCTATTGAAAGTAATGAAAGCAATTTTGTCACAAGCGCATTTCATCAAATGCAAAACAGAAACTTATCAAATTGGACTGATCAAACGTTTCTGTTATTGGACTCGATCATAATGGTAACGCAAAGAAATTCAAAGAGTAAAGTTTCGTCTCGAGATTATTTTAAGGTCCATAAGTTTCGAATAGATTCAGGTTGCATTAAAATGGAAACTTTTATGTACTTTTACTGTTTACGGACGATCATTACTTTAGCATTACCTAATTAAGGTGCTTAATGTGAAATGCAAGTCAATCGAATGGAAAAAAGCTGTAAACTGGAAACATTAATGCAAGAAAAAATAGAGTTCTTTGGGTGAGATTCAGCTTTAGTTGCTGTTGAATTTAATAAGTAAAAGTTCAATGGATTGAGGCAAATATGAAAAGAAATTTTCATCAATAAAATTTCCTTTTCTCGATATTTTAATAAAGTGAATGAACACGAGTCCATTCATGGTTGATTCCTTTTCATAACGATTGCAACTTTGAGTAAAAGAGAGTTTCTCACTTTTAACATCATTTTAATGGTTGTAAATGAAGCAACGAAAAGGATTCAGCTTGTGATCAATTTTGATTAATGACAGAAACTAAATGAAATATGGATTCATCCATAACAGAATTCATTTTTCACCCAATATTTTAATGTTCAACTTGTCCTGGTTAATGTAAAAGTAAAGAAAAAGGATTGAAAAGTTGACCAAAAGTTTGAAAGCTTAAAACACTGTAAATCATTTCTGGCTAATGATTTACTCACGCATAGATGTTGGAAGATGTTTTGGTTAACAGTAATAATATTTTTCATTTGATGGGCTGTGAGGGAAGGAAGAAAGCATCATCATTTTGATGAGGATAACGATTAGAAAGAGGAATAATGTTGACACAGAAAATGATTTTTCTTCATTTATTCAAGCTGAGTTGCTGCTGTGTTGTCACCAATGAATAACCCTTTAATAATGTGAAAGATAATAGTCTGTAAATGTGGTTACCTCCTTGGAGTCAACGGGAAAATGCATAAACTTTTCTATCCAGTATAATCATTCTTTTACCTTAAGGTGATGATATTAATAATTTAATATTTTTTACTCCCAGTTTTTCCCTTAGCTTTTCGACTCTGCACTTTCTTCATTTCAATCTCAGAGGTAGCCTTGATTATTTTTAGGTTAACTTTTTTTTGTGTTCGCTGTTGTGAACTTGTAATAAGTGTCAAGGGATTGCAATTGTTCACAGTTGAGTTTAGTTCGTTGCTTGGCTAAATGACTCGACGAAACTTGGAATGCTGATTGTTTGATGATAATAAAATGGGATAAATGAGCATGATAGGAGACAAATGGTGTCACAAGAAAAAGAAACAAATGAACTGAATTACAACTAAACAAATATGACCCTGGTTTTGGTGCAACTTATCTATTCTGTGCTTAATTTTGGGAAAATCACTCCCAGTTGGATACTGGGATTGATAAATTGTTAGAGCTTGAATGAAGATCAAGGTTTGAGAAACGAAACAAGAATCGTCGATAAATCAAGTGGAAAGAAGCAAAGTGAGAAATGAACTAATAAAACACAATATGTTATGATGAATAAGGAGCAAAAAATAAGAGGAAAAAAGAGGTTTGAATGATGAATGCAAAGGTTGGCCAAGGGTAGAGTAAATTTGATGCAGAGACAGGCTTCACTAGAGGCACAAGTTCAATGTCCAGACTTGCTAACCAAATTGTCTGCATTTCTGATTGGATTAGTTTGCAATAAGAAAATGCTAATCATTTTCTCACCGAGCAAATGAGAAAATTTAATTTTCTCAACTTGTCTGCTCTATTGAGCTGCTGCTTTTCTAGTTTACATTTTCAGAATTGAAATTGATCGTCATTTATTCACCCACTTGAATCATTAACATTATCAACTAACATATTGAAAGTTGCCTTTTGCTTGTTCTCTTGATCGTTAATGATGAAACAAGCTTTCAAACTTTTAAGTTACAAATGTAACAATGAGAGGAAAACGTTTAGGAAGCAGAAAAAAAGTTGAACCCATTAAAGTATTTTTTTTGTCAACAGCAAAAAAGAGTTGGAATTAATTTGGATAAGAAGAAAGTTGGAAAAAATTTACATCTCAAGTCTTGCCTTGGAGTAACACACAGAAAATTAATAACAATTGAAGTGATTTAAGTCTATTAAACGACATGAAATTGAAGGTGATCAACGAAACTAATCAACAATTGAAGCAAATGAAATGTTCAACAAAACATTTCAAACATAATGACACCACAAAGTAACTGTTTAATTTGCAAATAATTAAAGTTACACAAGTCAATCAAGTCCTTTGAATCTATCGATTTTTGCATTTCACTGAGGATGAAAGTGGGAAAGTTTTGAAGATTTTCACCAAGATTAGTGCTTAAATTGAATTAAAAAGCAACTTCAACTCGATTAAACTGAGATAAAAAAAAACTCTTCGCCTAACAAGATGCACTTGAACTGAAAATGCAAAATTAATATTCACTGAGAGCATGAAAGGTGGTGCATAAAAATGCTTGGAAAATATGAACTTGTTGTTTATTCATTAGATTAAAAGAATCTTGATCGATTCAGTTTGATCTCAAAAGTTTTTTCAACTTTCATTAACTAAACAATGTGAAGCAGTTTGCTCTTTGTTTTCGTTTGATTTTTCTTCAACGAAATTTTCTCCACCTTTTTGACAAACAATTAGCAGATTCAAGCGATTTAGGAATCTAAATCTATTAATAGACTTTAATCCATCTGATTATTTCTTGATTCCTTTTTGACCATCAACTCAACTAACTGGAAACATTGTTTCTGTCTCTTCACTCCAAGATGATTGATTAAGTTGGGAATAATGTTTTTAAATTTCTTTATCTTTTTATTCTCATGATATCATTACTGACTTGAACTTGAGAAACTTGAGATTTAATTGAATTTCACACTTTTCTCTGCTTCTTACCTCTGTAACTTTGCTATTATTTGTGGAGTTTGTTTGGAGCCTCAAAGATTATGATAATGCTCATGGAGGCAACAAGCGATTAAAGTAGAACGAAATTTTGATTAAATCTTTTTATAATTTACTTTTATTGTTTCACATTAAAATGAGCAAAATGGTAAAATGTTTGCTGATGAAAATTTAGATTCAAATGAATGCCGAAAAAATAATTATCAGTGAAATTGCTTTGCTTGTTAATATTAATTTGCACGAAAACAAAGGCTTATTACAGAAAATTTTAATGTTTTTTCATTTCTCTTGTGATTCAGCTTATTAAAGTCATTATTAACATTGTCATTGTGTCGAGCTTTTTGCTTCAAAAAGTTGGTTGATCAGTTGAACAAATTGTTTCACTTGAACAATGAATTTATCATTGTTCCTAAATGGCAAAAATAAACGTTTCACTTACTATGATATAGATAAGTCCAGGATATGATTTAGTCAGATAGCCAAATATGATTGTTGGATTGGTGGAAGCATCGGCTAATGATGAATTTGTGATAATTTCGTTGGCTGACCAATGTTGGTCACTAAGTCATCAGTATTCCAAGTTGAAACCATAACCATTGGAAGCAGAAAATGGGAAAAAGCAAAGAAAAAGTTCGAATAAAAAAATGATCAACGATTATCTGTATTGGAAATTGGATGAATTTTGCAAAACTCTCTCGAAAAAATGAATCAATGTTTTGGGAGGAAAATGAATGAAACTTCTTTAACATTTGCTTGTAAAAGTTTACTTTTTCAGTTTGATCTTTTTTTAATAGTTTTGATTGAGTTTTGAAAAGCAAAATTTTGATTCAAATGGTTGAGAAAAGTGAAGAGAGTAAAAATTTAAATTTAAATCATTGTTCAATCATGCATTGAGGTTTATAAAGGTGAATAGTTTACCTTGAATTGGATCGCATGTTAGCCTTTTTTTATCGTTTTATCTGTGAAACATTCAAATCCCTTGATAACTTGATTAGTCTTGTAAAGCTGTTTGCGATGAACAGATTGAATGTTCAATTGGTTTGTTACAATTTAGCATCACTGGAAAAATGAGAAACTCTGTTTACGCTCAACTTTTCATTGAAATTTGTCACATTATTTCAAGTTTATATTTTATTCCAATATGGAAAACGAATCATCAACAAATTATTGAACAATTTTTCAGACCAGAATCAACACTTTTTTCATTCTCGCAATTCTTAAACTCTAATTTACTTGTTACTTTGTAAACCTCGCAAAGGATAAATTGAGTCAATGGTTCGACTAGTGAAGAGCTGCAATGGAAATAAATTGGCCAAACAAGTTTTTACAAGAAGACAACAATGAAGAGAATGTTCAAGAGAAATTGAACAACATTAATCGCATGTTCAATATTTTCTGGATTGAACTTTTTCTCATGATCAACACTTCCATCTATCTGATGATTTTGCAACTACCAAGCAGAACCAGAACAAGAAGAAAGAATCGAGAAAATTTCTCATTCGATAATGAACAAAGCAAGAATCTTGATAAACTAAAGTTGGAATCAAAAAGAGACTGAAATAGAACCCAATGTACCATGCGATTTTTTTTCTATTTACACCTGTTTACAATCGTAAATGACCAATGGTTAGTGGCAAACAGGTAAAGGTAGAAAGAGAAAGTGGAAGTAGTGAGAGAAAGATAAAGAGAGAGAGAAAAAAAGAGAGAAAAGAAGAAGGAGAAGAAGGAGGGAAAAGTGAAACAAGTATAATCTTTTTTTGCTCGCATTTGATTCTTATTAACAGTATTTTTGTGGTTTGGTCAACATTATTGTTGCCTTAATATTCATTCACAACCGACAACATGCATTGGATTATACTGTTAACCAGTTTACCCTTTATTTTGGTAAATGTCAATTATTTTCTTGTTTCTTACATTGTCATTCGTGTCTCTATGTTTAACATTTTGTTAATGTGTTTTACCATCTTCTTCTTTCCCTTGATTCCATTTCTTAACCCAGGTCAACTCACAATCAGCTTCCAACGAACAAAGTTCATTGGAAATTTTGTGTCAACCAATTTGTCTCAATTCAATGAATTCCAGATCATCACCAGGTTTACCCATTTCATCGCATCAAGATCCACCCAGTGTAACAAGCAATGACAAGCAAGAGGCAACAATCAAAGATAAACCATTGGTAAGTTCATTTTATTTTCCGTTGAAACAATCGTAACCAATGGACAAAATGATAACAATTTCGCTTCAAACCATTTTCATTTGTTGCATCAATTTTGCAAGTAATCAAGATTCAGTAAACTGGGAAACGCTTTCATTTCCTAGATTAAGCCGTCTGCTTTCAATTGCCAAGTGGATTAAACAAAAGTGAATGACCAATCATTGTTGGTTAAAATAAATACTTTTCATTGAGTTTACTTTAATGAACAGTGAAAACCTTAACTCGTCTCAATTGGTGTTAATGTTGATAAGCAAATAAACTTATTTTTAATTTTTGCATCAATAACAGCCGATAAAAGGTAAACTCTTGTTCAACTTTCAACACTTAACACTCGGTACAACGGGATAAACCTGATATCAACTTGAGTTACATTGAAATAGATTCTCAATATTTAGTGAAAATGCAAACGCCTTCACAAATGATAAGCTTTATTAATTAAAACAAATTAACAAGTTTAACTCTTTAACTAAAGATTTTAGGAAAAAGTTTTCTTTTCATTCAAATTAACCAAACATTCAATACTTGTACCTGTAAACTGGGTGTAAATCATCAATAACTCACATAATTAAACATCTTTCAACTTATTGACTTTAAACATTTTAGCTTGAAGGTAACAATCAAAGTTGATCAAAGTCAATAAACATAGTTGGTGTTTAAGTGTATTTATAAACATGATAACAGTTTAACCATTTAACCAGCTTCAAGTGACTTTTAATAGGGAAAAGTTTAATTCAACTTTTCCATTTCAGTTTTTGGTTCGATACTGATGATGACCAAAAAGGATAATTAACAATTAAAAATGTAAAGGGATTGAAGCAAAGTAAAGAGGAAAAAGGAATTATCCGGAAGGCAGATTGCCAGGTTAATCGGTGTCAATTAAAGTGCTAAAAAATACAATCGACTCTTAGCCTTAGGTTTGATTCAGGCTCAACAAGTTTCTCCACTAATCTTGTGATTTATCCCGTGTTGGACTCTCATCACTCTTAGCACAAATCATATGTAAGTTGACCTGCAAGATGAACGTTTTTTTCCATCGAAAAAAAGTTCTTTTAATCAAACAGAAAATTTTATTCGTGATTGTTTCAGATGATTCAATGCTATTTCTCAACTTTGCATCATTACCTTTTCCTCTATTTGATTGAATTTAATCATCGATTGTTGATAATTGTGCGCTTTATCAATGTTTTAGCAAGTAAATGAGAGATGATGTTGAGTCACAAAAAGGCAACAACAAACTCGATCAAGGTTAGCAAATTTGGTTAATCTAATTGTATAATCTTTTGAGTATAACCATTAAGGCTCATCAATAGGTCGTCAAGTGAGCCTTATTAATGATCAACATGATTGTAATCAAGTTAATCAGCGTTTTCCTTTCCTCAAGGGTCATCATCATCATCATTTTTCTTCACCACTGTTTAACATATCCTGTAATGTAAAATATGAAAAAAACTAACGATTGGTATTTATCAAAAGTCTATCAAAGAGCGAGAAAAAAAAGTTGATCAGAATGATTTATCTCTAAATGACATTAAATTGATCTTTAAAGGCCATTAATTGTAGCAGATTGATGCGCGTTTATCAGCCGTTTAACTTTGACACCAATCATCATCAGTTAATTGTGATTATCATTTGCAACTGTTTAGTCAATGTTGCTATTGCAAATGTTATGATAAGGTTTAATCAAAGATAACTATTCTTTACCAAATGAGAAGACTTTTTGTCTTTTTCAGCATTTCATTGTAGCCAAACCTCAAGATAATGCGATTTGAAATCAACAGGTTTAATTATTTCAATCATCAACTCATCAATCATTAGTTAGGTTTGCTTGTTAACCGATAATCACAATAAAGCACAATATCAAACTTGTAAAAGTTTTCAAATTGTTGCTCATTTGCGTTTCTGCAACTTCATGTTAAAGCAATAAAACAAATTGCAAATTCATTGACAGTCAATTATAGCCATTGAATGGCCAAGTAAAAAATAACATTGAAACGACATTCAGAATGAAAAATAACTCAAATTGATTAGCATCAAATTATCACCTTTGTCCACTCAATCAATTCATTTTTTGTCACTTCAACTCACTCTTAATAAGTTGTGAATTGTGAATGAAAGTGTGTTGAAACAAAAGTTGAAATTGACTCAAAATTGACTTGCAATTGAATATTGATTTGAGACAATTTGAAATATTTTTTATGCAAAACGATTGTTGATTTGTGGAAACGAAAAGAGATAAAAGCGATTAAACATTTTAAGGTTAATGTTGATCTTGATTGCTCTTTATCATGATTTTGTAGTTGAATGAAAAAAGCAAAGTTGAAAATCCAATGTTGATATGATGAGACTATTGCGAGAGTAAATTGTTTCCAGGTTAACAAAGACAAATGACATTAAACGCTTGGTTAATCACTTTTGTAACTCGACATTACCGACCATTGGAATCGCTTCAATCTTAGATTGGAAACAATACCTTTACTCTGATAAGTTAATGATGTTATTGATCTGATAATTATAAATGGAACCTTTAAAAGCGACTTTCACTGTTTCCAGGAAATCAAGGTTTCGCTTCTCTAAATGTTTTTCTCTTTGCTTGACCATTTCCGAGTTGATTGACAGTAAATATGTAAACATTTTAATCGACTGTAAATCAAGTTCATTAAACAATGAAACAAGAATGGTTTACTGGTCAATCATAATGAATACTTGAACAACATTGTTCAACATTTATTTTTCATTGTAACTTGATAGTTACCTTTAAGCTCTTCCACTTGTTTTAATAATAACTCACTGTTTAAAGTAATAATTGAATTGATATCAACATTCACTTATCAATGTCAACCAAATCATGGTCTGGTAAGCTTTTTGTTTCAATACAATGTTAACCTTTCAATGGCTTTACTTGCCATTCATTGTTCACGAGTAAAGTTTTCACCGTTTTTACAATTAAAATGGTAAATTGATTGTTGATCAATTAGCTATTTAATTTGTTTGAATATTTTCAATGGTCAATGTTTACCTTTGAAGAGAAACTTTTTTTGCAAAGTTTTTCTTTGTTTTTTTTTCTTCTTCATTGTAATGGTTAGAGATGAAGGTATTAAAGCTTTAAAAGTTCATTAGTTAATGGCCAGGTAATGATTAGCACCAGTATAACCTCGATTACGTTAATATAATCAGAGTTTTAATCAAGATCAGTTAAGGAAAGCTTCAAGTCAGGTTTAAAATATTAAGATAATAGTAAACCTTGATTAAATTGATACTCAAATGTGGTATGAAACACCTTTTTATTGATAACAAAATGAGCCTTTTAATTTGCAGATAATTGTTTCATTGGATTTGTTTGTTTTCAACTGCCATCATTTTCAATGAATACAACCATAGATTATTGATGTTCAGTTTAAGTATAAAGGCAAGGTAAAACTCACTGGGAACCGATAAAAGTGAAACATGGTTAAATTGATTTTAAATGAAGGTTACAGTAATTGTTTCCAAAAAGACCCTCATCCAAACAAGATTGGTTGAGTGTCGAGAGAAAAGTTTTTAAAACAAATGCAGGATCCATTCAACTCTACCTCAACGGGTTGCACCGTCCTGTTGGATCTCAACACTGACCATTGACTTTTCCTTCTTTTCCTTCACTCTGTTTCTCTTAGCCTAGTCAATGAAACTCTTGAATCGTTTGCTCTTCTTTTCCTTTCTCATAACATGCTAATGATAATCAGATAATTTTTCAATTTTTTTTGAGAAAAGATTTTCCAATGAGTTTTGATAGTTTGAAAAGTTTCTTCAAATAGTTTGGTTCAGACAATATTATCGCTTTTATCGAATCGACTGATTTCTCGTCGTGTTGTTGCGTGGTCGCTCGTAATGAACACAAAGAGCGATGAATAATGATAACGAATTTGCAAATGTGGAAAAGCGGAAATGAAATTGACCAGTTGGTGAGGAAATGACCAAAAGTATCAGATTGATAGAGTTATTATTAAAAGTTTTTGTTTCCATTAAAACAATTACATTTGTTGTTGGTTTTCTAGGTGCAGTAACAGTCGAGTGGGATGAGGATGAGAGAGATGAAAATTAGGTTGAAGTGTTGGCTAAATGGAAAAGGATAAACTTGTCTTTCAAGTAAAACTGCATCCATTAATTAATCATTATCATTTTACGAAAAAACCAAAATTGAAAAGCAAAATGAATAAATATTTTTGTAAAGACAACAGCAAACTCACTAGAAACGGTCAATTATTCATTCAATGGAATCACTTGCCTCTTCTCAATTAACATCATTTTTATGGTCAATCACAATTTACAAAAAGAGTAAATGAATAATGAATACTCAATGATAATTGTTGCAATAGTTTCTAATGTTTCTAAATATTTAATTAACTCGAGCATGATTAATGTTTGCTCATGTTTAAATGACAATCATTAATACAGTTTCCATCTCAAGCCTAACCTATTAAGGTCAGTTTAATTATATCTCCAGCAATGAGATGATACTTGATGCTTTTTGGTCAACAGTAAAAAAAGTAAAAGTGATTATCAAGTTTGTTTAATCATTACCATTGTAATCAAATTGATTGTTAAACTTGACTTGGTGATTAAATTGTTGCCTCATTGTGATTGTTTGCTTTTTGATAAGTGAAGAAGAAAGAGAGAAAAGTTGAAATCTTTTCACGACTTCAATTGTATTTAATGTTAATTGTTGTACCTTTTTTAACTGTTCAACTACTCGTAACTGACCAACTCACTTGCCTTTTGGTAATGAAAAGTTTCTCACTTTTGGCTACCAAAATGTTCAACTATTAATTAATAAATGCAGTAGTTAGAGGTCAACTCATTATCATTGTTATCATTGTTTCTTATTTTACCAGTTTACCCATTTATCAACCCAAATTTGACCTCCCTAGACAAACACAAGTTTTTACCTGAAAAAAAGTAAAAGTGTGTTTATTGTTCAAGCCAATTGTGCAATTAAGGTTTCAATTTTTGCACTCAATTTAACATGCGATCATCCTTTGATCATGTTTGCAACTTTAATTGAAACCATTTGTGACTACCTTTTGGATCCTTTAGTTTGAAGGTTGACCAATTAACCAATACAATAAGCTAATATCAATGATTGGGAAAACTTACCTTTTCTTGTTTGTTGCGAGTTTTGAACAAGATTGGAAAATTGAATTCACTGAAAGACCGAAAATGGGCACGAAATTTTTTTTCGTTTTTTCTCATTTCGATAATCACTTTGCTGAAATGTACGAATGGCTTTATTCAGGCTTGGTTTTATTTCAGATTAAAGGAAAAATGATTTATCGATTTTAGCATAAACTGTTAATAAGGAACAAATTGATGGTTTGCTAATTAAATTAAATCTTTTTTTCGTGTTCGACAATCGAATCAATTTGTCCATATTTGAACAATTTCTTGAGCATGAAGTTCCATAAATCATTTTTTATCTGAAGAAAAGTTTTATAGTCAATGATGAAATTGAATTGATTGGAAATTTTGGTGAAAACGAAAATGAAAATCAATTGGATTTAAATCTACTGGGCTTGATATTATTGTCTACTAATTGATTTTGAACAGTCGAAGTGCATTGATATTTTCATTGAATAATTTTACATGATTAGTCAACGATAATTATAATTGAAATGTTTACTCTCGGGCTATTTTCAGATAAAAGAATTAATTAAATTTTGTTTCCATTACATTTTAAAATGATTACTGAAACGACTTGCTCATGAAACCATTCATCATCTTTGTAGTGGTTTCAGGTAAATGACAAGTTTATTGTTAATCAATTGTTGAAAGAAAACTTTACAAGTTTGGAAAATTTGAAATCGAACCATTTTGTCGATTAATTTTCATGTAAAACTTGATTCAATTATTGATTGAAATTGATGAACCAAACCATTCTAAACCATTAGTTGTAAAATTAGTTTCGAGCAAATTGAGTTTCCTTAAAACCTAGAGACTTTGCATAAATATTTACTTTTGAATCATTTAAGTTGGCATTTCATTGAAGTTTCCTCAAAATAATGAAAACGTCTTGTAATGATAGCATCTTGTAACATGATGTTTTCGCTGAATTCACTTGATGCTTCACCCTTCAACTGGAGCTATTGAAAATAGAATGCCATGTAAAATCTGTCAATCCATGGAGTCCAACCTTTACTCAGATGAAACTCTGGTCATCAATTGTATGCGTCACTTGAAGAAATTGTTTGATTGGCTTTTGATTCTTAAAAAGGGTTACCATCAAGATGCGCCAACAGTACCCAAGAAGACCATCTATCGACTAGCCGCTGCTCGCTCGTTGACCTATTTGGTTACATTTCGAATGATCTTTTGCCTTTCCATTGATGATGTTCACTTGAAGTATCTACTCGGGTATCCTTACAAGGAAAATGCTGAAGGAGTTCTTCTTTCTATTCTCATGTCTTTAACTTACATTTTATTTTCATTGCTTCGTGAGTTGGTCTATTACTTTGAGTCGAACGGTAAAATGGCCGTCACAGTTGAATTGAATTACTTGTTGGCACTAACACCGGGACAACTCCATTCACTCTCTAGATTAAAAGTATTTATCCGTTACATGAAGTACTTCCTGCCCAATTGGATTGCTTTATTTTACTTTTTCCTTTGCATGACACCGATATTCTCAATTCAAATTCGACTGATTAACCCTGACATTTGGACAAACCATGTCTACATTATTTCGAGTATCATATGGATGATACCTGAAGCGTTGACCATAGTTTACGTTGTCGGTGGTTTGATTATATTTTTTGGGCACGCATTGATGTTTTTAATGATCTATTACAGTAGACTTTGTTACCTGTTGCACCAGTTTGGTCGACTTGTTGAAATGGAATGTTCAACAACTCAGGCCAATGAACTTTTAATCAAATTGAATTATTCGTTTATCAAGTTTCTCAACGATATAACAAAACAGGCCTACGATGTGAGATATGTCTGGTTGTACATGTTGCTACTCGCATGTGGACTCAACAATACCTGCCTCTATTGCGGGACCATTAAACAGATCAAGCCAATTATACTGGCCTTTTCATTGACAATTTATGGCGTTTGTGAGTTTGTTATTTCAGCCATTGCTATTCACAAGGCTGGTGAAATCATTGAAAAGGTAATGCACAGAAATAATGATAGAGTAACCAAAATAAAAAGCTGAAACTAATCGAATCTTGAAATTTTGAAACACTTTATCAATATTATTATCATGTTTATGCTCAATTCAAGTTTGAATCGTTGATCTTAATGTCATTGAATTTAAATCAATTTTTAATATTTATTGCAGATTTATGCAATCCATAATCACTATATAAAATTATCGTTAAAATTGAAAACTCGCCTGGATACAAGGTTAAAGGTAACAAAACTGCTGAAGATTCACATTTGTAATGTTTCTAAGTTTGTTTGTTTCTTGGCCAGGTTCTTGAGATATTACAGCGGATAATGAGTCCGAGAACTTGTCCAACTATCGGAGACTTTTTCGAGATCAAGAAAAGTGTTGTCATGACTGTAAGCCATGGGATTGGTTGCTTGAATATTAACAAATTGAATAATTGAATAATTTTCTTTTGCAGTTTATAATGGAAAATATTTGTCTAATATTGCTGATAACTGTTAATGCAAATCGGTAGCAACACTTGTTACTCTCAAAAACGATCCAGTTTCAGCAGAATGATTCGCAATACCAAGCGGCTCTTCAATAAACTACAATTTTCATTCAGTTTCATTGCTTAATTAACCAATAAGGTTAATAATAATCTTCAAGTTAAAAATTTACTTTTTTCTTGCTTATTCCGATTTTTGAACAAATTGGAAAATTAAACTCACTTGAAAAGACCAAAAATGGTCACAAAATTTTTTCGTTTTTTCTCATTTCAATAATCACTCACTAATCATTTTATCCAATATTCAATCAAATCGTTTTCAATTCAGGATTGGTTTCCTTTACTTTAGTTGAATCAAATCGCTTGACTAAAGGAAAAATCTTTTGATTCTTGCATGAACAGTGAATAAGGAACATATTGATGGTTTGCTTATTAAAAATCATCCAATAATCATTCACTAAATGTCCGTATTTTGACGAACTCTTGGTACCAAAGTTCCATAAATTAATCTTTGATTTGCTTTTGTGATCCAAACTGTAGTTGTATAGAGAAAGTCTTCAATTCCACTAATTATAAGAACTGAACTCAAGTGTCAACTCAAAAGTCAAGTTGTTTCACATCTCATTGTCCATTATGGACTTTGTGCTCAATCAAACAGGCAAGAAACAAAGCTAATTAATATATTCATTTAATAATCATGATTATTATTAGTCAACTGCAATTATAACTGTAATAATTGTAAAAATAATGTTTCCTCTGAGGCTATTTACAATAAAAATTGGTATAATTGCATTTCTCTTCATTACAGTTAAGCCACAAAAATGATTTACTCAAAGCAACCATTTATCATCTTGGGTTTCACTGAAATGACAAGTTTATTGTTAATTCATTGCTGAGTAAACTTTACAAACTTTAAAAAAACTTGAATGAAAATTGAAAACTGAATCCAACTTGTTCCATGATTATCAAAGTTTCTTGATTCAATCTTTAACTTGTTGAAAGTGAATAAAATTTTCTGATTGATTCCAACTGAATGTTTATACAGAAAACCTTTGGTTAAGCACAAAGTTAGCAAAAAAGTTTAAACTGATTGAATAATTAGCAGTTAGTCGAAAGCAATAAATTAATGATTGACGGAAGAAAATGAATTTTCTGATATTAATAAGCTTTTGGTGAATGTCGATGATTATCGAAGGAAATGCAATCCATTGCATAAACAAAAGGCGCTCCTTTAAAACAATTATTAGCAACCAAATCTGATTGAACAATCAATAAACAGTAAAGTTTTCTTTTTGTTTCACCGATAAATTGCTTGTTTTATCAACAGCAATTAATTAACTATCATGCCAGGTTAAAAGGTTGAAAATTAATGTTCAATTTTGGGTTAAACTCTTAAACTCGACTCTTGTTGATATTGAATGCGATTGTTAAAAGTTGAATAAGTTTTCACCAAAAGTTAATCTTGCAATTGAAAGTTGAATTGGTCAACAATTTTTTACATGAACCTGTTGATTGATTACTTTACAGTTGTAAATCAAAGTTGGACAAAAGTTTTTGTACGCTTTTCACAATTAATTGATAAACAAATTTTTTCCATTTATTCTCATCCATTTGTACTTGTCATTGTTATTATAAGCTCAGGTGTCCAATAAATAGGTAAATAGCCAAATGTCAACAAGATTGTTGATTGACCTTAAAGCTGTGCTTATATTTAACATTTGTTTATCCATATTGACATCAATTGTCTTTGAGTCATTAAATTGAGTTTTGTCAAAGTTGATGAATCGATTTCAATTTTAAGAAGAGTGTTGAAAGCATGAAACACTTTAACAACAAATGATAATCAGTGTCCATGGTTTGATTGATTCATTGGTTTGATCCGAAAAATTTCATTTTACTAACTTCATTGCTCCAATTTCAATTGATTAAATTTTCTGTATTTTTTTTCTTCATTTCAATCAAACATGGAAACAGGAAAAGCTAATTGTTGTGACTGACAATGGGAAAGATGGAAAGTCAGGTGAGGCTATTGAACGGAAAGAGAATGGATTAAATGGTGAAGAGAAAATGTTGATTCGCAAATCGAGTGAATCTGCATCTCGAGAGAATCAGTGGAATTCAAGTCGTTGGGCAAAGTTACCAATTCGTCCACCTAAGCTTCGATTTGGATCTAAACCAGTTGCCACCAAGGCTAGGCGCATTGCTTATGGTTCAATGGTTAAAACTCGAAGTTTGTCCAAAGAAGATTCCAATCTGATTCCAATTGCTTATACAAACTCATCTCAGGTAAGATGTTGTTGCAATAAGAATTGAAATTCATTATCTTTCAGTCTTTCCTGTTTAGAGTATCTGGTAAAAGAATCAAAATTTTCTGTTTTCAGGTTTAAATTTACTTTTGGATCAACATTAGATTGACCTTTAACATAGTTCATTTTGAATTGCATCGAGTCTCACTGGCTGTGTAACCCTTAGTTAATGATCTAACCTTGCATTTGGACACTTTTCATTGGTCAAAACTAGTCAAACCGAATGTCAAGCTAACCATTTTTGTTTCATTTTTTGTCGGTTGACCAAACTTTTTACAACTTATTTTATCTCCTTGACCTGCTCTTGAGTCATTAATTGAAACTAGTCGGTAAAGTAGATCAAATTGAATGACAAAATGTGTGTAAACAGAGAGCACAAGATGCAAAAGGAAAGTTGAGTTGAAAAAAAGACGAAGTTAATGATTTTGTTTAGTCTATTTAAGGCTTATCAATTGTTGGATCAACTTCAGTTAATTTATTTATACATTCAAAGTAGTCTAGCAACTGGGTATTTGTTTATGTTGATGAATTTCAAAATGTAATATCATCAGGTTAAACATGAACTCATGTCGACTAATCTAATGGAATAGGTGAAAATGAATTGAATGCTAATTATCACATCAAAATGACAGCCTATTCCAGGTGAAAAGTTTTGCTAACAAAATTGAATCAATAAAAGTACTAATCTGTTCATTAATAAGCGGATTAACTTTGTGGATGCCAATCATCATTACACTTATATTCACTTTATGCAAATATTACATCAAATGCCTGAAGTATTATCGGAAAAATTGAATTGTATGAGTAAAGAAAAAAAAGGTTACACTTTTACAAATGATATCGAGCCAGTGACATACTTGATGTGAATTAAATCCAATTTTCCCAGCCAATAAGTTGATCTCAGAGAAAATGTTGATAATCAATAATTAGTTAATGAAATCGACAAATCATTTTACCATGAAATCAAATCAACTATGATTAGGTTTTACCGTGAAAAAGTAAGCTTTGTGAGAGAAAAAAATATCTCAACATTGGACCGCTTAGACTAATGGTGATAAATTGAAATTTAATTTATCGAAAAATGTAAAGTTTACAATTTAGTCTCATAAAGCTTGGTTAATGATGTTGGGAAAGTTGTAGTTGTAATTGATTTGTTGAGTCACAAAATTAGTCCAAGAATATTAAAAGCAAAATGTTTCTGCAAAAGTCAAGTTGACTTGGTAACAAAGCAGAAGCTAGACTTGGAGTCAACCCAGGACTAAGCACTGTCTAGGTTGAGCATAAACAGTCTTGAGGCATTTTAATCACAAAACTAGTCCAAGAATATTAAAAGTAAATTGATTCTGCAAAAGTCAAGTTGACTTGAGAATATAGCAGAAGCTCGACTTGGTGCCAACCCAGGACCAAGCACTGTTTAGGTTGAGTATAAGCAGTTTTGAGCCATTTGCTGGACTTAACTTGACTTTTGCAGAAAAATTTTACTTTTAATATTCTTGGACTAGTTTTGTGACTCAAATGGCTTAAGACTGTTTATGCTCAGCCTAGACAGTGCTTGGTCCTGGGTTGACTTCAAGCCTGACTTCTGCTTAGTTTTCGCGTTGCTTTTTGTTGCAACAAAATGTGAATGGATTGACTGTTGGACTAATTAATAGTCGAGTTATCGTCTGATCTGAATTGCTTTAACCATTTGCATTTACTTTGAAACGGTAGTTCCGATAATCGCACTATTAATCTTTTGTTGCCTTTGATATTTGATCAATAAAGATCAGTAAATCAGGAAATGGCTTTTGAAAATTTTCATATCAACCATGATAATGGTAATAATGAGAGTGATGATCTTGATTATCTCAATTGCTTTAGAAAACAATAATAACGGTTAAACAAGATTTTACGATATTTCATGGTAAACAATGGATAATAATAATTCACGAAAAAGTTTAACTTTTATCAGCTCTTGGATTAATCTTGGTACAAAATCTAATCCAACAATTCATTCATCTTCATCATGTTTCATTGTCATGCTTTTCAATACTACGTTTCTCTTCCGTTTCTTTTACCGCTTTCTCCTGACCTTCATCATGATTCCATTATTTGCCGCCTTTATTTTCACTTTTACACTTTAAATTATTCCAACAGCTTCAATTGTTAACAGTTGATTGCCACTCTTTTTTCACACTAAATCTCAATTGATCACTCAACAATTTTATTAACTCGACCAATAAACTTGTTTCAATCAACTTTTCAATCATCACTCAATAAGTGATTAAAAGTGTGACAAAACAAGACTGTTAACCACTTTCGATGTAATTACATTTTTATCAGTAAATTGTTATTCCACTATTACAAGGGTTAATCCAATTCAATCCTTGGTAATTTCATGTTGAATAAAACTTTTCATATCCGTGTTTACCTGGTCAGTTTACCATCAAACTGTAAGGCCCAATCAAGGTGAGAATAATTAGTTTGGTATCAATTTCAATCAAAGCAAAAAAACGTAATTTTAATCAAATGAAGAAGCTTACCTTTTAAGAATTGATTTTTAATTAGCACTTTAATCTGCTCAGAAGGCCGTCCAAGCTCAATACTTATGTCAGACTTGCCATATTGATTGAAATTGTTCAATAAAACTCGAAAATTATTGATCGAGAATTTTCCTAATTTTCACTTTTTCAATAAAAAAGAAATTAAAACGAAATTAAAATCAAAATCAGTAAAAATGGTTCAATTGGCTATCAATAGTTCAGGCCTTATGCTTGATTCGACAAAGAAAATTAATTGATTTTCAAGTTTAGTTGAATCAACTTTTATCGATCCTTAACATTTGAACCAATTTGGAATCATTGAAAATGATTAAAATTCTGATTAATTTGACTTGAAAATGAAAAGCGAAATGTTGATTAATTAATTGTTTGAATATTCAAAGTTTCGTATCAAAATTCAAACCTTGACTTGGACAAAATGCCATTAAAGTTGCCCAAAATTGAATTAATCAAATAATAGCAATTTCAATCGCAACCATGAAAAAAGTCAACAATAGCAAGAAGATTGTAAAGGTTGAATGGAAAGTGAGAGAAATGAGCAAAAAATGATTAAAAATAAGCTCAACAATAAGTTCATGATAGTGTTCAACAAAAGGCTAATTGTCTGAGCTTTTCATTTCACTTTTCATTGCTTCAATTGGCAATAGCCAATGTTATGAATCATTTAAAAGCTCAACCAAATTTAAATAAAAGTTTACAAAAGTATCAATATCAAAATTCATTTCATTGCAATTCATTATCATTATTATTAACTATTGACCTTGTTTTCGTGTTTCCTTTTTTTCGCTATTTGATAACTCTTTTCATATCATTTCAATTAGTTTAATTCAAAGTTTAATTAAAGTTTTAAAATGAAATCAAATTTTCTTCTTGTGTATAAATTCACTTAATTGTTTAGCCTTTATGGATTAACCATTTATGATATTTAAATTGGTCACTTTTGCCTTTTTTTGTAGTTGACTTTGTATTTAACTTTCTTCTTCTTGGTTGAAGCTCAATCCTTTTTTCATTTTGCTTTTATTGTTCTTGGCTTAAGGTCAGTTTGGGGTGGATTTAGATTAAGAGTTAACCAATTAAATGGACAAATGTAACCATTGGTGGCATTGAGTTGACTTTCAAGGTTAATCACAATTCATTTGCTCTACTATTAATGGTGTCTTCAGTTTAGCGTACAATTGAATCATCAAATGAGTCTGAAACTGTCAATTATAAACAGTTGAAAGTATTCATTTCTTGCTATTGAGTATTTAATTGTAGAGTATAAATGTTTATTCAATAGTTGAATCTAATTTTCTCTTTCAATTGATCAGAAACATTGGCTTTTACTTAAAATTTGAGTTTATTGTATCAATAGCAATGAGATCAATAACTTCGGTATTGGTACAATGAAGGTGTTTTCCCATTCAACATTCAACTGATATTTGTGATAAAGAGTTCGTGATTGTCTTGAGAAGTTTTGATTTCAAAGTTTTCTAGTTTTTAATGGTCAGATGAATATTTGTGGATAGTGTTTGGGTAAAAATGATGAAAACTTTAAATGGTAATGAGATTTCGAGATTTTTCTTCTTTTCTGTTGTTTTTGTCATTTCAAGTTATTGTTAGTAAAATTTTCACCGATTTACAAGAAGTTGTTGAAAGCGGTTAAATGAGGATTAATGATTGTGACCACTTTAATGGAAGTGCAAGCAGTTTAAGCTTGATCGTGAAAATTGGACTTTTAAATGCAGTTAATAAATCAAGTCGTGCTTGACATAGATTGGTCGGAGTATGAAAGAGATAGAGAAAGGAAGAAAGAAAGAAACAAGTAAAGACAGCAAAAAGTCAAGAAAAGGAAAGTATTAAAGAGACTGGAAAGGTAAAAATTGACTCTCTTATGAACAAAATCTTGGTGTTGAAACAGAAATTTACCTTTTTTCCTTAAATGATACTTTGCAGTATTTGTCACAAAAACTAAAGCAAGCTGAACACGACAAGGATGTGTTGAAAAGTCACATCAAAATTGCAAGTTGAATCAACTTTTCGTTGCATTAAAAGATTTCTAATGCACATAAATTGAATCTACTTAAACAACTAAGGTTTATTAAAGTCATTTTCAAGTTTAGTTTTTTTGACATTTTGACTGTGAGTAAGTTAAATTTTAGGCAAAAAATATTGGTCATGATTTTGGGGAATAAAGTTAGAGTGGACATTTGATGGTGACGCTATTTTTGCTAGGAAATACATTGCAAGATAATTTTATCCAAAATTCTGTTCCTGATTGATAGTGACTTGCTGATTCTTTTTGTTGACCCTTCAACTTTGCTCTTGACCTATGGAATAATTTTAACTTTATCTTAACTTTTCAGACTACAAGCCATGATATTTTGGAACTTTCATCTTCAGAGAAGCGCACTTCTCGAATGAGAATTGGACGTCGACATAATCCTCAGGCAAATGATCATTTTGAAAGTGAACCAGATGAACTTGCAAAATCTTCGTCTATTGTAAGGATTAGAAATGACCTGATACCATCATCTTCACCTTCATTATTCAGATTCTCGACAAGTGGTGACACTCGAAGCAGTTCTTATCGAAACATACCCAAGCTATTGTTGCCCAAATTTTCTCGACCTGCAATGTACAGTCTCAACGGTTTCATACCCAAGCCCAACATACAACGTTTAACCACTTCAACCAGTACAACTGTGAAACCTTCCTTAATTAACCGGTTAAACCGTAAAGACTTTGCACGAAGTAACAATTTGGACAAAAACAATCAAAAAAAGGTAAGCTGGTAGGAGTAAAGGTTTAAAGCTTCATTTCACTTTCAACGAGTGAGCAAAGATCAAGCAAAGTTTTCTTGTTAAACAGTTAACTTGTAAACGGTCAAAAGATTGATTCAAAACAAGACATGAAAAAGAAGAGGTGAAAGTAAATGTTTTTTAAATAATTTTAGTTGCAGCAAAAGTAGAGCTATTGGTTAAGGGCGAGGCTGGTCAAGTTTTTTCATTTTGTGCTTAACCATTTCTTGACCATTAGATGATGGCTAATAGTGGCAGTTAAGTTTTTTGCGTCATTGTTACAGTTATTAGCTGTTTATTAATCATTACTCACAATTGTAAACTTGAACTTGCACTTAAATGATAATCTAATTTTTAACCAAATCTTATTAAGTATAATGTCAATTGTTGAAGTTAATCACTGCTTAGGTCACACATCTACAAGGAGAAACAATTAAAGTGAAAATGAACATTTGCGAACTAACAATTGGTTAATTAAGCAATCCCTTTGCTCTTGATATGTTAATAAATCAAATCTTTTTTTGTTCAGTCCATGACTCTGGATTTAAACCTTGGCCTCATCTTTGAAGATCGACTAATTAATGTCTTTTTATCATCATTTTAGCATGAAACAAAGCATCGTCAAAGTTTGGAAGATTCAGATAATTTGAAGACCAGCGGAAGTGTCAATCGGTTGTCTAAGCGGAGAGGTTATTTGTCGACATCCAAACAACGATCCACTCTTCCCAATGCAGATTCGAAGTACAAACTGGCTAATCGTAGAGGACAACCGGGTAAAGATTATCCCATGATCAACAGTATACCTAAAACATCATTTGACTGCAAGGATCACATTGGTGGAAGTGGATTCTATGCTGATCCAGAGACTGGTTGTCAAGTTTGGCACATGTGTCAAGGTCATCGAAAACATTCTTTCCTTTGTCCAAATGGAACAATTTTTAACCAGAAATCTGGTGTATGTGACTGGTGGTATAATGTTGACTGTGTTGAGTCACCCTTGACGCTCTTGGGGACAAGTGAGACAACTTTTCGTACAAGCAGATCAAATTCAATGAGCTTGTTTGACACTCTACTTATGGAAAGAAGACTGGCCTACCAGTGAAGAACCTAAGCGACAAAATTCCAATCGATTTGGCTTGGTCAATATTTCCTTGCAGTGCAATCACCAAAATGCTTTTATCAATTATTATGCAAATTGTCGACTTTCGACAAATTTCAGAGTTTTTGTAATCCATCACAAGATGTTAAACTTTTCAATCCAACTCAAAGTTTTTTTTTATCAAAATTTATTGGAATCCAGAACACTTTACAATTTAGATTATCAGAGTGTTTCATTTTATTTAGATTTTGTTGATTCTAAAGTCATTTCAAGAATTTTGTCCAGTTGGTTACCTTTTTTCATCAATATTTTTTATAAATCTTATTCATCTATTTTCTTTACCAAAAAATACACTGTTCATCCACCACAATCATCCCATCAGCTCATCATTCATACTTCAAAATTTCATCACTTACTTTATACAGTCAACAGCGGATGCCTTGGCTCATAGGAGATTCAACACTTTGCTGTGCAACTGGCTAAAATCACCATAACCATCATAACTTGCACTCTATTATCAAATGTTTAAGATTGTATATTTTTTCCATTTGGGTTTCAAAATGTAATTTATTTGTTTGTTTTTTAAAGTAAAAATATTTTACCAAATAATATCTCATGAACAATTTCCTCATCTTATTCAATCATGTATCATGAATTTCACTTTTATGCCCCATAAGCCTACTAGCATTTGAACTCTTGGGGCTTTTCAAGATACTGGATACACAAAAAGCAATAACCAAATTAAATTTTTTCATTAACATCAATTAAAAATATATTTTTTCCCCTTTGTCAAGTTGAACGATTTTACAGGCGAAACATTTACACGTTAAAGTTTGCGTGGCGTCCTCTAGAATTTGAATAATCAACTACCTCAAATAAAAAGTACATTTTTCACTGAATTCAAAGTATCATTGATGACTCATTTTTGAGCTTTTTTGCTTACTAATAAATGCTTTTTAGGAAACATTCATTTATCATTCCAATGCAAAAATTGTGATCGAATGATCGAATGACGAGCGAAAGATCAGAGTAGTCCGAAAATTGAAGTTATTGATGCTACAACAGACAGACCAATTTTTGAACCAATAGACGTAAAAACTCATACACCATTGAGTCGAAACATTGCTTTCATAGTAGTAGTAAAAGTACACAATCTAAATCCTCTACACAATCTAACCCTAGTACATAATCTAGATTCGAGATTAATACAGAAGTGAATACAACAAATGAAATTCTGATCATTGATCGCATGATCAAGTTCACTTTAATTTAATGTTCTGGTCCTGACATCTGTTTGTTTGTATAGTAACTTGTAGAATCATGCTGATTTTCCATAAAGTATGACATTCATTGTCAATACTCTGAAACAATTTTAGTTTGCAGCTTTTTCGATAACCAATGAAAACCTAAAAATCTAACCCTAGTACACAATCTAACCCTAGCACATAATCTAACCCCTACTAGACATTATTATTGACAATATGAACAACATTAAAAACTAGAAAATGAAGGTCATTGCGAGCAAAACAAACTTTTAAATTTAAACTCGGAAAAACCCGAAACGTTATACAAACAGCTATGTTCAACCTTGATACAGTATGATGCGGAAGAGTTATCTAGCTTTCAAACTGCTTTTTTAATATGCAATTTATGCATCAAAATGTAAACAATTTAATTGATTTTGACGTATAACGAGAAGTGAAATTGAAACAACGTTGCAAACACATGCGATTAATACAGATATGCATACAATTTGACCATGGGATTTAGTATAAATGCCGATGAAGTTTTGATCAATTTCATATTCAATTTTTACATCCAATCAAGTTGATTTTATTAGTTTCGTGGTTCTCAAATCTCCAATACTTGTAAATTTGTATCAAGTTAAGATTCACTCTTTGTGATACTTTTCAGTCATTGATTATATACAACAAAAATTTTATAAAAAATCACGTATTGGTTTAACCTACTTATTGTTTGATTTGAATCGATTGGAACCTATTTTATTTTATTGATAGATGCCATTGCCAAGTGTTGACAATTCCGTTCGATTACACTATCATAAACTTATTTTCAAATGTCATCCGATGCGAAATAAGATTCGTTTTCTCTTTTGGTTTTTGGTAAGTTGTAATGGTTTTCTTTGCAACAATGAAATTAAACAGATAGATGATATCGTTAGAAAGCTTATTGGCAATAGGAGAGTGCATACAAGGAACATATGAGATTTATGTAAACTGGCAAAAGCAAGGAACAGTCTGCTGAAGCGCCCAATAACAGAAGAAGTCATCGAAGAATTGCTTTATCGTCTCCACATTTTTCATCACGAAATAGCTGACAAACTAAATTATTACATTTATTTTCTCTCATAATTTCTTAATCTTTGTTTTCATTTTGAAAAAGTTTATTTGCGTTTACCCTCGAAGATGTTGATGGTGATGCATTTAGATGCTAATTCTATGAAATATGTCAAATTGACCTTTGAAATTGAAACATTGTTTGTAAAGCTGATTCGAATTTATGTTCAAAACAAATCGGGCTTCAACGCGGAAGTATATAAACTGAATGATTTTGAATCAATTTTGCATTCCAATTCAGTTCTCAATTCATACCTTTCATGTGTTAATTTCATCTTACATACTAGTATTACCTTAAAGTAACTTTGCTCAACTTACAATCCTTTTACTTTGCCTCCGTGGTGAGATTTCTCATAGTCTCCAGTTCATCATTTTTGTGTCTTTTCAGGGTTTCGTTGGGAATTTGGATCACCAGATTTGCCTCTCGCTGCCTTTGTCTGTATTTCTAAGCTTTTCTATTTGCTCTACTTAGCCCGAACTAAAACTCAAACTTAAAGTAAACTTGCAATTTGTTATTCTTGCTTTTGTTCTTTTGTATTGATGCATTTGAAACTTTTTGTATTGGTTTTCGTGCAAATTTTTTTCATTTATCTTAACCTTGTTTTGAATTAGTTTTGAATTTTACTTTTGCTTGATTTGCATTCAAGTTTTGAATTGATTCAAAATGAAACTTTGATTTTGATTGTGTCTTTCGGATGAATTTTGAATTGAAAGTTTTGCAGAGATTTTGTATCAATTTCAATTTCAATTGCAATTTTTGATTGTTCTTAGTTAGCTTTTGTGTTGCTTTACACTATTGTAACAATAAAAGGAGACTGTATTAACCAAGAACGAACCGTAATGATTACCACTTTATGGAGAAAGCAAAACAACTTCTAATAACGTATAAGTTTAATGTGAGGATTAAGATAAGGTTACAAATAAAGTTAAAGTTACAATCAAGGGAACATGGGGTTTAGTTGGTAGCGTAATCTAGATATTCTAGTTCATAATGAGGCTCTCTCTTGATTCAGCTTACATATATGTACTAAGTAATAATAAGGGTAACATTCTGGCATCAATCCTTTTAAGGTTGACACCATGCAAGGTTAGACATAATTATGAATGACAGGATGCTTCAAATATGGAGTAGAGAATGATGAGAACGGAAGATCTGAGGGATTGAGTAACTGAGAAGGATATAATTTTCGTCACATCACCCCACTTCTAAACCAAGAATCGGTCCTCCGATTAGGAATAAGGTCAACGGAATGAAATTGAAGTTTTTCCATAGGAACGTATTTGATTTACGCGCTGTGTGTAGTTTCAGAAACAGAGGGTGTTGATGGAAAAACAGCTGGTTGGTCAGTTAAGTAAAAGTTCCTCTTTTAAGTCTCGTGAAATTTGCAGCTTTTTTAGTCTTTTAATTACATTGTGCCTTATTTACGAGTTCAAAACACTCAAAAGGTAAGAAAATAAAGGGAAAGAAGAGGAGATTCCGGTGTGGCCTTTAGGTAAGTTGACACTACTTCTACTATGCTCTAATTTATTGTTTCTCTTTGTCAAACAGGTTTTTAGTTTCCTTCATAGCTCCCTTAAAAGCTCCCTCGGCAAGTTTTTTTCGTTCAGAAGCGGTGCTATCTGTTGGCTATCAAATTCACTATTTTTCTTTGGCGTCAAATTTGAATTTAACAAAATCATGTTTGGTTTATTTTTATCTTTTCTGGCCTTCCTTTGTCTTGCTCTTCTTCCTCAAGGTAAAACTAACTAGAATCCTTGATGATTTGATTGTCTTAGTTGGGCGAAAACCATTCTTTCTTTTTCAGTTCATGCAATTCCTGTTGTCTCCTCCTCTGGCACTAACCAAGATGGCCAACAAAATCCCTCGACTGAAAATTCAGAGCAGGTAGACAGTCAACAGCAGCAAGGTCAGAATGATGGAGAACAACAAGAAATTGGACATGGTTCGAATGTAATTGCTGGAGAGGTAGAAGAAGAGCCCGGTCCATCCGTTCAAACTACTCTGATGCCTGATAACTGTGTGTCACCTTGGCCTTGCAAAACTAAGTACTGGTGTATGGAAAATGATGGAAAAGGTCTGGAAATTTTGATGGAGTGGGAGAAGACGATTGTAACACCTGGGCGTGTGCAAAATTTGAAACAGTTTAAACCAGGACAGCGAGTTAGTAGAAAAAAATTACATGATGCTGCCAAAACGCTTGAAAAACAGCTTGCGAAAATTGCAGAAGATAAGGAAAAGAATAGGTGCATGTTTGAATGTGTTTACTCTGGTGGTGAATATGGTAGCCTCGTTGAGCTGAAAGAACATGTCGTCGGTGTGAAGCATAAGAACCGTATTTGGCGAGTCCAGTGTGTTGAAAGATTAGACTTAGATGAAATAGAGGATAAGTTGGAAATAGGGCTCAGCATCTATCCAAGAATTTTCCCTTGGGCCAAAATTACATATGATGGTATCGAAACATTGCGTTTCACCGATGAAAGAGTCCCACATGAAAGGAGAACATAATGGATCAAACATATGGTTGACTATCTCATTCCTACTTGTCGCCCTTTTCCTGGTCTTGCAATTGATTTTAGTTGACTTTCGAATTCATTTTTGCAAATGATTTTTTGTACTTAATTTGAAATTGATTTTGAATTTTCAATCGATCAAGGTTAGCTTTTGTATTGATTCTAGCTATTGATCTTTGAATTTATTTTAGAAACTTACATATTAATTTTGTCTTTAGATTTCCAATTGGTTCTAACTTTGAATTTTTTAATTTCTCTTAGTTAGAATTGATTATAGTTTGAATTTTCCCTTTGAATTTTCGAACTGATTCTAGTTAGTTTGACTTCTCAGCATTGATTTTTTCTTTTAGATTGATCTTTACCTTGACTTTTCTGTATTTATTTTAACTTTGAATTTTAAATGTCATCAGTATTCGATTTTGGTTACAAGTACTAAAGTCAGAAACTTGGTTTTAATTTCTACTTTCGGTTTAATTTCGACTGCAAGTTTGGTTTTTCGAACTGATTTTAGTTAGAACTATCTTCAATTGATTTTAAGTTTGGTTTTTTACATTGATTTTAGTTTCGACTTTTTCATATTGATTTTTAGTTTGGTTTTGCGAACTGATTTTATTTTTGATTTTTTTCAATTGATTTTTAAGGTGATTTCGAGTTTGTATTTTTCAGTAGCATGTTTTTAAAGGGTTTTAATACTGTTGGAGGCTTATAATGAAAATAAATAATAAACTTGTTCATTCTGAGTCTTTCTTTCTGACTAAAATCTATCCCAAACAAACACTGTTGATATACGCAAAAAATGGAGAAAAAGGATTAGAGAAAAAAAAATTAATGAAAATAAACGCAAAATTGAAAAAATGAATTAATATGATGATTAAATTACATATTAATGTGAAAAAATAAATAAAAAAAACAATAATAAAAACAATAATAACAAAAAAACATGAAAACAAAGATTAAGAAATTATGAGAGAAAATAAATGTAATAATTTAGTTTGTCAGCTATTTCGTGATGAAAAATGTGGAGACGATAAAGCAATTCTTCGATGACTTCTTCTGTTATTGGGCGCTTCAGCAGACTGTTCCTTGCTTTTGCCAGTTTACATAAATCTCATATGTTCCTTGTATGCACTCTCCTATTGCCAATAAGCTTTCTAACGATATCATCTATCTGTTTAATTTCATTGTTGCAAAGAAAACCATTACAACTTACCAAAAACCAAAAGAGAAAACGAATCTTATTTCGCATCGGATGACATTTGAAAATAAGTTTATGATAGTGTAATCGAACGGAATTGTCAACACTTGGCAATGGCATCTATCAATAAAATAAAATAGGTTCCAATCGATTCAAATCAAACAATAAGTAGGTTAAACCAATACGTGATTTTTTATAAAATTTTTGTTGTATATAATCAATGACTGAAAAGTATCACAAAGAGTGAATCTTAACTTGATACAAATTTACAAGTATTGGAGATTTGAGAACCACGAAACTAATAAAATCAACTTGATTGGATGTAAAAATTGAATATGAAATTGATCAAAACTTCATCGGCATTTATACTAAATCCCATGGTCAAATTGTATGCATATCTGTATTAATCGCATGTGTTTGCAACGTTGTTTCAATTTCACTTCTCGTTATACGTCAAAATCAATTAAATTGTTTACATTTTGATGCATAAATTGCATATTAAAAAAGCAGTTTGAAAGCTAGATAACTCTTCCGCATCATACTGTATCAAGGTTGAACATAGCTGTTTGTATAACGTTTCGGGTTTTTCCGAGTTTAAATTTAAAAGTTTGTTTTGCTCGCAATGACCTTCATTTTCTAGTTTTTAATGTTGTTCATATTGTCAATAATAATGTCTAGTAGGGGTTAGATTATGTGCTAGGGTTAGATTGTGTACTAGGGTTAGATTTTTAGGTTTTCATTGGTTATCGAAAAAGCTGCAAACTAAAATTGATTCAGAGTATTGACAATGAATGTCATACTTTATGGAAAATCAGCATGATTCTACAAGTTACTATACAAACAAACAGATGTCAGGACTAGAACATTAAATTAAAGTGAACTTGATCATGCGATCAATGATCAGAATTTCATTTGTTGTATTCACTTCTGTATTAATCTCGAATAAACTTGTGCAAACCTTTTTCATCAAAACAATTTCAACAAACGATAAAAAAATACCACATGTTGAACGGAAAGTTTAATTATTTACAAAGAAGAGTTTTCGACACTTAGAACTTCCGAATTTTGCTAAATGCCAATAATACAATTGGTCAATTTTGAAGAAAATCTAGTAATAAACACAACTTTTTCATCTAAAAACTTACTTTAAATCGTCTAAAATTTTGAACAAAAATAATCATGTGAAACTTTCATTGCGAGAGGAATTTCAAAGTGACATTTTTATGCCCAAAAATGGATTGTTACCTTTGTCTTGTTCATCTATTTATTTCCATTAAGGATTAAGCAACATTTTACTTCCAAACACAGGTAAATATAATTTCAAACTCTATCGACAAGCATTTCATTTGGTTCACTCGACTGGTTACAGATTGTTTCTCAAGTTGTTACACAAGTCACATGAAGCAATTGGTTAAATTGAATGCTGAATTCAGGTTAAGCTAAGCCAAATAAAGTTGTATTCAATAAAGAATAGTGGAGAATAAAACAAAATAGAAATCATTGTCAGTCATAAAAGTGTTTATAACTGTCTTTTATACTCTTATTTCATCTCATTCCATGAGAGTTCTGTTCATCATGATGACTTGGCATTTCCATCTGTAACCTTAAATACTCTCCTTTTCCCATAAGTTTACTGCTATTCAAACTCCAAGCACAAGACCAATATGCTTTGTTATCCCATGAGAACAATTACATTGTCTCTAATTGATATTCCATGGACATAATATTGGATGATAATAAAAAATCTTAGAAAAGAAGTAAAACGGTAAACATGACATTCATCATGATCAAGTGGAGATGAATCAATTTAGTAATTTGCTTTGCTCAAAACTCAGTTAAAAGAAATCTTTATTCTCGAAAAATTGTTGGAAATGCATTTGAAACTTGAACTGGAAACAATTTGACTTTCAACAGTTTCTTTCTCCTTTTAATCTCTCATTGATATTTAATGATTTCACCAGAAAAATCAATCTCAACATTCAATGAAACTTGTAATTGGTAGACAATAATGTAATCCCATCATTCCTTGCTTCTGTGGTTACTGTGAATATTAAGTTATCATTATTACCAAAATAGATTCATTCGCATAACTGTTCAACTCCCAGTGAACACAGAATGCTTGGAGGTGGAATGAAGAGGATAAAACAAATTTGCAGAAGAAAAGCAGAGTTGGAAGAAAAAGTAATGATGATTTGGTTAAACTCGAGTCAATTTTTAATGCAAAACTCATTTAAAATTTACTCGACTTGAAATTATTGTCATTAAATATTAGATTTGTTTCTCCTGGTTCATCATGATACTTTCAATGTCAACCTTTTCCCCCACTCAGAGTTCTTGCCATGTTCTTGATATCCAAATGCTTATATTGCGCTACAAGCAACAATAATGGGCATTAATGGTGACGCTCAAATGGATGAATATTGTACAGTAAAAAAAATGAAAAAGTTGATCATTCTTGCTCTTCTAGCTGTTCATCCTTTTTGACTAAACCTTAAATTCAATTACTCGCAACTCAACCAAAAGAAATGTTTATCATAGTTTCTTGTCTTATTTTGTTTTCAACTTTTCTTTGCTCTGCATGAGAAGCAAAGAAAAATAGGAAAATGTTGTTAAATGTGTTTTCCTTTAGCTTTTGTTTTGTCTTTTTTCGCAACGAAAAAATTATCAGATTAAAAGTGTGAATGAAAATCGAGCATTAAATAAGGTTAAATGAAGAGCTTAAAATGTATGTAAACAAATATTAATGATGCTAATTGAGTTTTCTGTTTTTCACTTTTTCAAGATTCTTTCATGATAATCAAGTATCATCTTGAGAGCTACTTTGCATGCAAAGAGTGAAAAGGTGAACAAGGTTTAATCGAAAATGTATTTCTTCTTTGCATTTGCAAACATTCGTTGAACCAAATTCGTTGACTGTTTGATGGATAATTGGACAAGCAAATAGTTTCATTGTTTATCTCTTTAGCTTTTTCTCTGTTGATTCATCTTGAAATTGTACAATTCTCATCTTCAATTGTCTCTTCGTAAAGATGATGATGAGTCAAGTAGAGTTCATTAAGTGATTCAACATGAAACAAGATTTTTGATTTTTCTTGCTTTATCTTTTTTCCAAGCTCAAGCAGCAAGTAAAAGTATTTTTTCTCACTCGTCTTTGTATTACCATTTCTACTCTTGAATATGTTAATCTGAATGACTGATGAACTGCTAAAAAGAAAAAGTAAAAAGGTGAAAAAGGGTAAAAGAAGATTCATCAAGATTCATTCAAGAATGATGAATATAAATGGTTGAGAAAATTAAGTTTCAGGCTATTTTCATATCACCATGAATGGTTTTCATCATCTTTCCTTTATCTGTTTAACAATACAAGTTAAATGACTATAGTAAACATTTCCTCTTCTTCCATGAAAATGAAACTATTACAGATAAATTACATGTATTTAGAGTTGGACAATTTGTTAACTTTGCCTGATTAATACAAATAATGAAATGAAAGGAGAAAAAGTTTTCAATCTATTTTTAAACTCAATTGCCGCTTCTTTCAACATTCACTCATTTGTCTTTTGCAGTCCAAATGAAATTGCATCCAAACAAGATTGCATGAGGTTGCAATTTAGTTTCAATTTATTTATAAAAGAAAAAAAACTCAAATTTTGTTGACAATTTGTTCAAAAGGTTCAACATTCAAAACTAACCTGTGGCTCTTGCAAAACTCGTTTTAAACTATTTTCCAGAAACTCGACTAAAACTTTTCATTCATTTAAATGTTGCCAGTTCATCTTACAGTTATTGACGTTCAATAGTCTATTAGACGATGCTGAAACATAATCATGTTTAAACTGAAACATGAGCTTTGTTGTAGCAAGAAGAATGTTGAAACCATTGGGAGTTTGAAGGCTATAAAAATATTAATAACGATGTTATTCATAATGGTTACTGTCAAGAGGAAAGGCAAAGTTGACGTTCTGATAATGTATTGGCATTGTGATTAAACAATTTCTGGTAATAATTGACGAACAAGTAAAAGGTAAAAAAAAATGTTGACAATTACTACATGATATAAATTACATTACACTATTTGGTGTGGATGAATAAAACATGCTCAGGGTTGCAGCTTTGAAAGGCTTAGGATGGAAGCAAGAAGAGTAAAGCATCGATTATCATGGAAATGAAAATATTGTTATTAGCATGAGATTCAGTAAGAAAATGAAAGTCGACTTGTTAATCAAAAGTCTAAATCCAATTTAACTTTACGTTCAACTGAACAAACGTAAAGTCGAGTTTCATTTATCAAAATGATCATTTCAAAAGTATCATGAAAAAACATTCAAAATCAAATAATGAATTTAATCTCTCAAAAGTTTCTGTTGCAATTATTTGAATAATTAAAAAATTGAACTTTTTTCTTTTTCTCTTTTGTTTCGTTTATCATTTACATGTTTATCCGATTCTTGCCGTTGTTTGCCAAAGTTGATTGAACCACATCACTTGTCAAGTTCAATTGTTCATTTCCGATAACTTTATTCATTGGAATTGTATTGCATGCTATTTTGGTTGCCATCATTCACATCATCTTTCAAAATGTGAAATACTTTTTAGAAAACAAAATTTTTCCTTTTTTTCGCTTTTTCTCTCTTTTTCATTTTCTTTCATTTCCAATGGCAAACCAACAAATTCAATTAACATTCAATAAACTTTTGCCTGTCGTAATGTATTGACAATCATCATTATCAACAACAATCTTTCAATGATGAGCGCATCTTCTTACCCTGTTCAGAGTATTTCTGGTCATTACTTTTCTTCTTCTCATTCACATTAAATGAACATTTTCTTTTACTTTTTTACTCTTCTTCTTGCCTTTCTTACCAATCGGTTTTCCTCTTTTTCATTCTTGCTCATTTGAGCTTCTCTCTCCATTAGTTAAATTACGCTTCTTCATCTGGATTATCTGTTATTACATTATTACCTCTACTTTTTGGCTACATGATTAGATGGAGGTTACTTTATTTGCACTGCATATTGTTGCAACTTGTAGATTTAACCATCTTGTTCAGGGTGATAACATTTGAAACTCTACCAAAGCTGAAATTATTTTTCGATTTTTATTTGTTTTCACTTGTTGTTGCTTTCCTTTCAATCTTTTTTTTAATACAGTCCCAGTATCAATTACACAAGAAAAATAATGTTTCACTTTGTGAGGAAAAGAAGGAAGATAAATTGTCTATTATCATTGCTACAGATTAGAAAACTGTTTTTCTTCTCTTTTCATGTTCAGCTCAGCTCAATACAACTAGATACTAAACAATTGATAAGTCATCCAATTTGTGTTCAATTAATGAACTAGATTACATTTCAAACCTTGAACTTGTTTAGTTGTGCATTGGTAACAAGCGAGCACTAAATTGCACAATTTGTTAGTAAATTGAAGTTTTTTGCTCGAGAAACTTGTTGGTTATTTTTTGGTAAATTTATTGATTCTAAACTGCTTCGAGAATATAAACGAAAATTTAGCAAAAAAAGGTTTTTTTCGCTCAAAAACGATCTTTTTGCTCGATTTTTCATGATGGAAAATTCAACAAGAAAAAATGCAAGCTTATAAGCTAAGTACAAAAGTGTATAAAAGCATTGTGAAAACATTTCCAATGAATATGATTCATTTGCTTTGTTCGATTTTTTCTCGTTTTCTTTTTATGCCTTGAACAATGCATTGTTGGAATGAAAGTGGCAAAAAAAGTTGATAATCTTTTGGCAAAATATTCAATAATTCAAGTACAACTGTGCTGGAAAAGGTGAAAGTACATCAGTGACAGAACATGCTAAATGAATTAAATCTGTGAGTAATTCAAGTAGTTTCAAGTAGACTCCAATCAACTTTCATTATTTACATTTTTCGAGCAAAATGTGATGAGTATCATATTGCTGATTTCATTTCGTTGATGAAACTAAATAACCTTGAAATATTACAGTTTTAATATCAGTTTTAGCCCTGGTGCCATGCTTGCAACATCCAACAAGTCACAATAGAATACAATTCAACAAAATTGTTTTTGAAATTTAAGATGGCAAGTTGTTGTGAAACTTCAGGTCTGACACAATTCCAATTTTGCAGAAACAAATTTAGCAGACCGGATCCATATTGAATCGAGCAATTGAATAAAAGCTTGGAATTTCATTATATGGAACAAAAAACACTGTTTTAGCAATTTTTTCAATTTTTCACGGAATCTATTTGGAGTAAATTACAAATGATTTTATCAAATCAAAAAGTTTAAGAGTTTCAATTTGTAGACTTCAATAAAAACGCCACCCTT